TTTTTCAAAATATTCAAAAGTTTTTAAACACATTATAATCAAATGAATTGATACGCTGATTAATATAGCGATTATTTAGGTGCCACTGCTAGATGAAAACCCGTGAGATCCATTCTTTGATTTCAGCGCTTGGAACCGGGCCATCATCTTCTTTCTTTTTCCCTCTCCTCTGATGACTCGACTGCCACGTCAGGGGAAGAATAAATGCTGACTTTATTTAAAAAAAACGAATGAATTAGGGGAAAAAACACGAATATTGGCGGGGATGAATATTGAAGCTCCACTGTTTGCTTGCCGTATAGAAAAAAGATATCTACACAGAGAATACAAGACTGATCTATTACATGTTTTTTTTTTTATATTGAGCGTTCTAACTTTCAAAAGACCCTTTGAGTTACTATACTTAGAACCTATATTCTATTGTTTGTGACTTCTCTCTAAACGAATCCACATTATTTTGCCCTCCTTTTCATGTTTAATTTTTGTCACGTTTTCTTTTCATGACAATTCTTAATAATATTTTCTTAACGTGACACACGATACTGCATCTCCACAATCTATTGATCGAGATATTATATTTGCAGCAGCGATAATAACTGATTTCAAGTTTTTAGGGATGAGTCTCTGTTGCATACGCCGTTAAAAGATTTGAAATGATATCGAATGCAGGTTCTTCAGGGATATCTAATTCCTGTATTGTGTCAGCGGTCTTTTTAGTTGTTCCTTGTTCTTAAACTCGATAAACTGTCTCTCCAATTCTATGGTCATAACAGACAGGCATTCTTTATTATCTCTGAGACTGTCTGGTATAACAATATTTCGTAGTTCCCTGTCATACCATATCTATTTTGCCCAGTTTCACCGTTCTACATTTATCGTTTTCGTCTCTTTTGGACATTTTCTTTGGTTATTGTTCTTATGGTGCCCTTTGCGTTTTCTTGAATTCATTTCTAAATGTCGTTTCCTTGGCATTCCAATCGTGCGCCAGATGTTTTTATGAATCTTTGTCAATTTATATAAACTTTTATAAGTTTATGTGATATGGACGATAATAATTATATCCATAGAAATGTTTTTTTTCTATCCACTTTTTGAATGTGTGCCGGAATAATCTCTTTAGATTTATGGTTTTCGTATTTCATAACTTCACTCGTACATGATAAATTCGCGCCTATTCGCCAAACTATTGATTTGATTCTCCAAGTTAGGGTATTAGGACTACATCTTTGGTTGACAAGGATTGAAACCTGCCTCACAAACACAGCCTGAAAGGCCACTACTTAGGGCCGTTTCCTAGCCAAGTAGGTGTGTATCTGACTAAAAGTTGAGGAACCTGCCGTCTGTATACAAATAGACAGATCTGTGAAACGGATGTGCACGCAAAACTGAAGAGCTGGAAAGAGATCAAAGTCCAGAACTGGATGAACAACCAGAACTTTGCAGCGGAATATACAGTCGGTAAAAGTTGAGAAGAAGAAGAAATTCTGATTCTCACTACTCTCTCTCTCTCTCTCTCTCTCTCTCTCTCTCTCTATATATATATATATATATATATATATATATATATATATATATATATATATATGTATTTTCTTTACGCATTTGGCACATCAGTCATATTGTGCAACTGTTGCATTTTTAAAACCAAAAATTAGGTATCAACGCGTGTGAAATGCGTGGAAACTGGTCTTGTACTATCTCACTCATTACCGTGTGAAATGCGAGGAAACTGGTCTTTTACCACCTTACTAATTACCGTGTGAAATGCGTGGAAACTGGTCTTTTACTATCTCACTCATTAACTCTAACAAGCATACCGTGAGAGGCGACTAATTATGATTGTGCTTAAATCCCATGTGTTGTGCAAAAAGGGGCTGATATCGCAGCTCTGCTGTAAACAGAATCACAATGTGCCAGCCGTCAATGTAAACCAAGCTTCGATGCATGATGTGATCAACTTTACTTAACCCAAACATTACCTGGCACCCATTTTTGACTGGATTGAGACGCTCATGTTGGCAAAGACCTACTTAATAATGATTTCTGTGGTCATCCAAGAAATTTGTTCTCAGCCAGGTCTTAGTCAGAATAAACAGGATCGACGTTTGCTTGGAAGCCGCAGTGCATCACATGAGAGGTGAGCAGTCAACAGTTGGGGTGTGCCGACAAAAGAAAAATAGTGTTTAAAAAGATGGGGGGGGAAGGGGGTGGGGGGGGGGGAGCGCTCAGCAACAGTCTTCTTCTTAAAGTCCATGTCGTGGTGCGTTGGCAGTTATGTCTATCCTCAATCTTCTGTCTCATGTACTTTAAATCAACTCTGACACAGATGATCTCCCATAGTCCATGTCGTGTTACGTTGCCACTCATGTATATCCACAACCGTCTATCTCGTGTCCTTTTATTCACCTCTGACACAAATGATCCTCCATGCTCTGACGCCAAACTGCCCTGCATCTTGTCTCTCGGTCTCAGTCTCTCTCTCTCTCCCTTAAACTTTCCTTCTATCACGATGTACTCCAGTTTTCCCCTTCTCCTCACATGATCAAAGAATGTAGATCAGCAGCAGTAGCAGAATGATAATATAATAATATTAGTAACATTAACAGTAATTATTATTACCGAGCTGCACGGCAAATACATGTAATACGGTAAGTAAAATGACGCCTTTCCACGACTTCAGGTGCACTGGACATGTAGGACTAGACCTACTTTTTATAGATCAATTAGCGCTCAGTGGGTGATGTAGTCAATACCACACCGGCCGCCTTTACCTCACTGGACTTTACCTGGTACCAATTTAAGATTGGGTCGACGTGGGAGCCAAGGTAATTGTTGGAGAAGAACAAAATTTAGTACTTTACGACCTGAACCTACTATCTTCCGTTCCGCAGGGGAAAGGTCTAGCCGCTAAACCACGGCAGCTTTCATATAATACAGTAAACCCTTGTTAAGATAAACACGCTTAAGAAGAACATTTGGTTAACATGGAAAAAAAAACTGCGGCCACGGTAAGGATGTATTGTTTTTACTCCCCAGTTAGCACGATTTTGTTAACACGACTTGGATTTCCGGTCTTTTGGAATTCGTGCAATGGGGGATTTGTTTCCCCCTGTAATACACTACAGACAATATGTAATGTATAAACAAGTAAATGTAAAGATAACTTCTATACATGGTTGAAGCTGGCTAACATCTTAGCCATTACACAATTATTGGGGGTAGGGGTGGGGGCGGGAAAAAAGGGCCGGAAAAGGGGGGGGGGGGGTCTCGAGAGGCAGTTTAACCTTAAATGGGCGGTTGGCTCGTTGTGGTAGTTATAGCAGACTGCGGTATTGGTCCAACACATACGATTGCAACAAAACCCAACATTAGTCACCGCTAACGATATGTTTGTTGGGGACAGTATTACGAAAGTAAAAGACGAGTTTCTACACACTGCACAAACGTTGATATCCGAAATGTTATTAAAAATAAATCGGCATTTGAAGATTTGAGTGATCAATAACACACCGGCGGCCTTTACTTCCCCGAACAGGTCTTAGTAGTTATTTAGAGACGCTTGTTAATATTACAAGTTGAGGGGAGCTGCGTGGTCTCGAGGTATGGTGTCCGCCTCGAGTGCTAGAGGTCGCGGGTTCAGGCGCCGGTGAAGGCTGCGATTTTTTCAGGTGGACATAGTAATTTCCCCTGGTCTCTGGGTAGTGAGATCGGACGCCCGTGTGTAATGTTGCGCACATAAAAAATCCAGTGGCAGCTGGAAATCGAAAAGAGTAGCTGCCCGGGCAAAAAATCTACCCAAAATATTTCAGGATCTTCGAATGTGCTACGGAGCCCGTGCACTGCGCTGGGCTACTTCGGACTCAGATTTAAGTTAAAAGTAGAACGGAGCACTTATGGGTTACTACTCTTGTGCCATGATGTTGATCCGTTGTTAAAACCTGAACCCTATTACAAGGAGGACAACTGATACTGTTACAATTTTAGACAAAGGATAATATTTCAATTTTTACAATTGATAATATTACAAGTTAGACAGCTGATAATATTACAATTTTGACAACAACAACAAAAAAAAAAAAAAAAAACCTACTAGTCATCGGTCTTAATCTTCAAAAATACCACACAAAATTAATACAACACACTGAAGAATACTGCAAGTATCAGACAAATCACACGAAATTAACACAACGTACTGATAAATACTGCAAATATCAGAGATATCCCATGAATTTAACACAACGTACTGATGAATACTGCAAATATCAGAGATATCCCATGAATTTAACACAACGCACTGATGAATACTACAGATATCAGAGATATCCCATGAAATTAACACAACGCACTGATGAATAATGCAAATATCAGAGATATCACATAAATTTAACACAACGCACTGATGAATACTACAGATATCAGAGATATCCCATGAAATTAACACAACGCACTGATGAATAATGCAAATATCAGAGATATCACATAAATTTAACACAACGCACTGATGAATACTACAGATATCAGAGATATCCCATGAAATTAACACAACGCACTCATGATTACTGCAAATATCAGATATCATGCGAAATTAACACAATGCACTGATGAACACTGCAAATATCAGAGATATCCCATGAAATTAACGCAACGCACTGATGAATACTGCAAATATAAGAGATATTACACAAATGTAAGACATCACACCCAAGAATGCTGTAAAATTTGAACGGAGACATACCACACAACATTAACACAACACACACAAGAATAATTATAAATTTTCAGACATTCCCTTGGAAATTAACACTATACACCAAAGAATACTGTAAATTTTCAGACATACCACAGGACTTTAACAGAACACGCACACAAATATTGTAAACATTCAAACCTCTCAGGCAAAATTAACACGCCACGCCCAAGAATACTGTAACTATCAGACACAGAAAAAAAAAGCATACTTTCATGGTGGAAGTTCTGCAGATCTGTGTAAAAATACTGAATCACATGCTGGGGTCATACTCATCTTGACCGAGCTTTCTGTTCAGGATGGCTAATGGTCCTACACCGCCTTGGAAACCGCTGTTGTTATTGTGATATGAACTCTGCCGTTGTGCTGTCTCCCACAGCTGCTTTTGCATCATGGCCAAACTGATCTTGTTGGCCTGCAGGAAGTCTTTCATGGAAATCATCTCCCCTGAATTTCTGCGGTACTCAGAATCGCTGTCTCCTTCCCCGTCGGTGACTGTTACCATAGGGCCTTTGCTGCCTTCTTGCGACGCAGTTCCTCTCCTACTTTTTTGGAGATGTCCTGGGGTAATAGCGTTGCGACGAGTCATAGGCGGTCTTCGAATTCTACATTCGCAGTTTAGTTTTCGGAGCATCCAGTTTAGCACCTGCTTGATAATGATGGACATGACGTTGAAGAGGCTGTAAATGCAACAACAACCGAGCACGATGAAGATGAAATTCCCTAAACGGTAAAAAACTACATGTGGATATTCAGCTTTCTGACTAACAACATAATCTCCAAAACCAATCGTAGCGAAAGCGATAAAACAAAAATACATGGCTTCAAAATACGTCCAGTTTTCAACGGGATAATACATGGCCGAAGCAATTAACGCTACCATTAGGGCTCCTATCAGTAAGATCAACATCACCCAGTACACAGAAGGCTTCCAGGAATCTAACTGTTCGTCCTCTGAAGTCTGGCTTGAACGACGTCCACTTTCCCCCATGCCGTTCTTTCTTTGGCGGCGTTCATGGATCGCTCTGAGGATGTAGGCCAAAAAGGTGATGATTCTCTCCAAGAACAGGTTGAAGAAAAGTATAGCTCCAGCGCAGCCGAAGAATCCGTAAAAGATGAGTACTATTTTGCCAGGCACAGTCCGCGGTGTTGTCATCCCAAAACCTGAAAAGACAATGAAAGAGGGGCAATGTTTATTGTTGTTTACGGAGATGTCATAGTATAACTTAACATTCTTTATTAGTAGAATATGAGTTGGCACCGTATAAGTGTCACATTGTTTGTAATTGGAATGTGAGATGGCATAGTATAACTGTAACATTGTTTTTCATAGGAATGTGAGATGGCATAGTATAATTGCAACATTGTTTATTACTGGAATGGGAGAAGGCATAGCACAAGTGTAACATTGTTTACTCTCGGATTAAGATAGCATGCGTCTATGTAATACTATTAAGTATTGCAAGGGTAGATAGCATTGTGTCCTGTAACATTGTTCTGTGTTCTAAGGGTAGATAGCATTGTGCCAGTGTAACAGTGGTTATTACTGAAGGGGAAATAGCATATGTCAGAATAATATTGTTTAGTAGTGCAAGGGCAGATAGCATAGTGTCTGTGCAACACTGTCTGTTGTTGAGGGGAGATAGCATAGTGTCTGTGCAACACTGTCTGTTGTTGAGGGGAGATAGCCTAGTGTCTGTGCAACACTGTCTGTTGTTGAGTGGAGATAGCCTAGTTTCTGTGCAACACTGTTGTTGAGGGGAGATAGCCTAGTGTCTGTGCAACACTGTTTATTGTTGAGGTGAGATAGCATAGGGTCTGTGCAACACTGTTTATTGTTGAGATGAGATAACATAGTGTCTGTGCAACACTGTCTGTTGTTGAGGTGAGATAGCATAGGACTTAGCAACACTGTTTATTGTTGAGGCGAGATAGCATAGTGTTTATGTAACACTGTCTATTGTTGAGGTGAGATAGCGTAGTATCTGTGCAACACTATTTATTGCTGAAGCTAGACAGCATAGGTCTGTGCAACACTGTTTATTGTTAAGGTGAGATAGCATAGCGTCTGTACAATACTGTCTTTTATTGAGGTGAAATAGCGTAGGTCTGTGGAACACTTTTTTGTGTTAAGGTGAGGCTAGAATAGTGACTATGCAATACTGTCTATTGTTGAGGTGAGATAGGGTAGTGTCTGTACAACACCGTTTACTGCTGGAGTGAGACAGCATAGTGACTGTGCAACACCGTTTACTGCTCGAGAGAGACAGCATGGTGTCTATGCAACACCGTTTATTGCTGAAGGGAGACAGCATGGTGTCTGTGCAACACAGTTTATTGTGGAGGTGAGATAGGCTAGTGCTAGTGCAGTACGTTAATTGTTTAGACGACATATTATTGTATCAGTCTAGGGTTGTTTATTGTTAGAAGCTGAGAAAGCATATGGTTACTGAAACACTGACAGGCATGTGTTTCTTCTTTATATATTTCCTGTATTTACTTCCCAGTTGTCTATCCCGAGTTGTTGTCCTATCTGTCACAGTCCTTAAGATAAGAACCACACTAGCCACTTTTGTTTGGTCCCAATCTATGCAAGCCATAAGCTCACTCACTAATCGGAAAACCGTTCTTACCTTGTTTACCCCGTTGCCCAGTTTCAAATATTACACTAGATTTTCTATCTAGAAACAGAAAATATAGTGTTTTCGTAAGAATTCAGTCACAACTACCGTGTTTTCCAGAAAAAAAAAAAAAAAAAAAACACCTACCCCTAAAAAAGTCCATATTACGATTTGCAGAAGGCAAAGCCCTACCCACAAAAAAAAAAAAAAAAAATAATAAAATACAAAAAAAAAAAAATACAAAAAAAAAAAAAAAAAAAAAAAAATGTGCACAAGTCAACATGGTTATCTAAAGTGGGAGACGTGTTGCCGAATGACCAATGGAAGTACATATGCCACTGGTGCTCACTTAATACTTAACAGATGTGGTTCATAATTCAAGATACGTCACTCGAATGACGATTTTCCAAAAGAAGTTGACATAGCTGCACTGGAATGCATGTAGAATTATGTGCATGAATGAATGCAGATTTTTCTATCTGAAAAAGACATTTTCAGAAAAATAGTTGTAGTTCATTTTTGTAAGGCAAATATGGATGTAAGACCGGGTCTTATTTTCCCAGAAACAAGGTACCAACACTGAAATTACACCTTTCAGAATCTGACAGTGTAAGAGGACGCCTAAGAAGAACATGGACTGATGACTTTAAAACATTATAAATCCACACGTTGTGAAAATGTCTAGGGCTTACTATCTGGAGCTGAATTGAAACACCCCCTCACCCTCGCCTCCCCCCTCCCGGCCCTAATTTTTTTCCTACTTCGACGTTTAACAGACTTAAAAATATCTTGCCTTTTTTTTTTTTAATTCTCTTTATTATTTTAGTAATTATTTTGTAAACCTACAATGTAAAAAATAAAAAAATAAAAATAAAAAAATAAAAATAAAAAATAAAAAAATATAAATAAAAATAAGCATCAACAATAATTTCAGATTATCATTTTTTTTTAAATCATCAAGCGAATGAAGTCAGTGGGGATCGTGGCAGCTGCCATTTGCCTCGCGCTCTGGAGGTCGTGGGTTCATTTCGCGGCGGCGCTTTTCAGTTCATGAGTGCAATTTTTACTGAGATTTCTGGAGATCGTCGCCGGAGCTATGGAAGTTGTGCTCCGTGCGACTCTCTCGGCAGGCAGCTAGCTGTTCTGGGGAGAGAAACTGAGCCATATGAGATAAAACCCGGTGCAATAAAGCCGCTGCTCTCACCTTTAACTTACCTTTACTAAATAAAGTCAATAGCATAACATATAGTTTAACTACACCGCAAGTCTGGGCGAAGTCAGTTTAGACTAAAGTTAATTTTTTTGCGACGCTATAAGAAGGTATTTAAACAATGATTATTGATTACGCGGGACGCGCTCTGCAGATTTGAAATTACCAAGAGGAGATTATGTGGAGTGGAAGGGGAAATACTAAGAGTTTGCCTTTTTCAATAGAACTATGAAGCGAGACCAAGCAAAACCAAGAAAACGTTGTTACAAACCCAGGAAAAACTTGGCGGGATGATGACATCACCCACCAAGTGCCGTTTGGTCTATAAAATATAGACCTATATACACAATACGTCTGAAAGGCGTGGAAACGGGTCTTTTACTTACTTACTTTGGAAGAATTGATAGGGAACTTGAGGCAAGATGTCAAAAGGCGAACGCAGTAACTTACCAACTCTCCCCACTGCTAAAACACCCAAGCATCACTATGGCACTAAAACGACAACTGATAAATTGCATGTTTATACCAACCCTCTGCTACCAATGCCAAACCTGGTCCCTAACAAGAGCACAGGAGAAAAAGATCACGACGTGCGAAATGAGATGCTTACGTAAGGCTGCCAATGTCACTAGAGAGTTCGAAACGAGAACATTAGATCAATTGTAGGAACCACACCATGCCTGCAATACATAAAGAAGCAACAAATAGAGTGGTTTGGCCACTTGATGCGAATGCAAACCGACCAACTGCCTCTACAAGCATACAACGAACAGCACTACTGCCCTAGAGCAAGAGGCAGACCGAGAGTACGATGGATAGACAATATATAAGAGATCCTGAGGCAACACGGACTAACAACAACACGTGCAACACACCTGGCCCAGGATAGAAAACTGCGACTCCCCACTATGCTGTGAGGCAATTGTCGACAAGACAAGACTAGACTTTGGAAAGACATTTTGCAGGTGTGTTGTACTTAATAGCGAGCGGGTCTTGCTAGTCACACTCGCCATCGCCATCATGCATCCCTGTAACCAAGTATAACTATCGTCTAATCACCGTGTGGGTTCCGGGGTCCCATCTTGGGGAAAACAAGAATAGACCCATTGCGTCCCCAACAAGCATGTCGTAAAAGTCGACTAAATGGGAGCTTCCTTTTAAGTTAGAGTGCATCTACTTAAGAGGCAAAGAACCAAACGTCTGCATAAAAAAAGCAGATCTGTAAAACGGATGCACACGTAAAACGCATCTCCTGGAACAGAGCTAAACTCCAGGAATGGACGAACAACCAGGTCTTTCCCCTGGGATTTGCCGCCGGTGAATGCAAAAAATCGAGCTACACCTATTGTCTAACCAGACGGAAAAGTGAAAACAACATAGTTTATGTCAAAGTATATGGCTATATTGTGAACATAGATTCATAACTTTTACATACCGGATTTGATTCGACTAGAGACGACCCAGCTACAGAACATTTTGTGTTCATGCCTGCAACGGTATGAGCGTCGATTGTTTAGAAACTTTTACCCCGCAAAAAATCAATTTCTTATCCTCATGCCATTGGCTCATCCGGTGTCCCATGTTTCCATACATAGTAACAATGCATATAAAAAAATCCCCGTGTGGGTTCCGGGGCCCTATTATAAGGAAAACAAGAATAGACCCACTGCCTACCCAAAAGCCTGTCGTAAGAGTCGACTGATTGGGAGCTCCGTTCGAAGTCGGAGTCCATCTGTCTGAGAGGCAAGGAACCAGCAGTCTGCATACAAAGAAGTCAGATCTGTAAAACGAATGCACACGCAACACTCAGGTTCTGGAACAGGACTGCAGTCCAGAAGTGGACGAACAACCAGAACTTTCCACTGGAGTTTACAGCTGGTGAACGCAAAGAATAAGAAGAAGAGGAATATATAAAAAAAAAAAAGAATAATAAATAAATAAAAAATTGTTTATCCTGTGTATTTATATAATCTGTTCTACAAGACTACCAGGTGTCGCCGTGATCTAGCGACTGGACGCTCGCACTCGGATCATATGGTCGTGGATTCGGGTCTTAACAGGGTCCAGACTTTTTTTTTCAAAAATGACCTTGGCTCCCAGGTCGACCCCAGATATAGTGGGTACCAGGTATAACAATCCTGGGAAGTAAAGCGGCCGGTGCGATGCTGACCACATCACCCACCAAGTGCCGGTTGACCTATAAAATATAGGTCTAGCCCTATATGCCCAACACGCCTGAAGGCGTGGGAAAGGGTCCTTCACTTTGCTTTACCTGATTACAGTTGTTCTGAAAACTCACTTCGATCCGTGTGCCCTTTCCGGTTCTGTTTAAA